GGGTGACTTCATAACGAACAAATTTCTCAAGGATGCTACAGGATATGACTGGGAGGAACCCTGATTACTATCCGACTGAGATAAGCGCCGTATCGTGAGAAAATGATATCCAGCCGGGTACTGAAATTGTAGGTGGAACTATAATTATGCGTCGCAGTGTATTTCACTTTTGTGTGCCTAGATGATTTGAGCCTTTAACAGATTAACATCATCTGATGGTATCGCTACGTCTCGATAGCGATTTGATACCTGTGTGAAGTCTTCCACAAGATTTCACTGCATGTTTCCAGTTCAGATCTGCCTCAATTTTCCCAATTGCATTCTATAGGCTTTGGGTCCAAATCCATGCGAACCAATCCTAAAATTGATTTCGTTGTCGCTAATACACTCTGGCGGATCGGCTGCAGTGCATGGAGGCGTTTTCGGGTATGAAGATGAATTCTGTCGTCACTTTTACTCAGGAACGACAGTAAATGATCATTCTTTGATGTTGGTATACAAACTCATGTGAACAATGGAAGTTTGAGGATCTTTTGTGAAGTAGAAGAAAAGTTGATCAGTTCCCTCCTTTTGGAGTGCCCACACATTCTACTTTCCATTTACATTCGTAGTGGCGTTTGAATGCGATGTGGCCTATACAATGACTTGCGGGGGCCAGCCGATGTACAAGTCAGTGTTTTTATCCTCCCAGACAAGTCTGGTACCAATTAACCGACCCCGGAGGGATGGAAGGCTTGGTTGGCCCGGGCGACTCACGACCCAGGATTTGATACCCGACCGCGGGCGAGGAAAGCACCGCCATTTGATTCCGTCCTTCATTGCCACTAATAATACAAATTTAAGATCATTAGCAAGTCCAGTACTTTATTGGTCAAGAGATGCCAGTGGCGTCGCTTGTGCGACATATTCGGCCAAGGATAACCATTGGCTTGCGCTGGCGGTGACCGTCTTTCACCGAGCCGCCGCAAAGGGCAGCTCCTGCACCTCTAATCACCACACCAACCTGTAAAAGTGTTCCTATTATTTTCCATGCTTTTCTGGAATGATAAACACAGTAACCATTTTCAAGTGAAGTTGAAAGAAAAGGAAGTAGATTAAGCGAAAAGCTTGCAGGTACTGGACGACATCTGGCCGAAGCATTATCACAAGAGATGTGCAGAAAATAGCGGAAGTGTTTGCGATTCGTCACTCGGAGTTTGTCATGGAAAACCTTGAAGATGAACTGTACGCGATGCACTCTGAGAAAGCAAAAGGAAATTTCAGCAGTGAAAATGGTAATCAAAGTTGGTTATCATAACCCAGTGGTGCATAAGCAAGGTGCATGTAGAAAGAAGAAAGGGTTTCGGAGCCAGCGCTGAAATTGGTTACGTCCCACTACAGAATGAATGACTATCGGTCTCCCTTCCTTAAGAGGCATTGAAAAAGCAAAACGTGTAAAGATAGATTTCTCCATTCCTGTCTGCCTGCCTTTTTGAATCATTTGTATCTCGGGAGCAAAGCTGTGACTACAGACATATCCCCATCGAGTAGGCATGTATTGCTTCCCAAAAGAAACTCCTTGTTATAGGTCAAACCGGAAGAGAAGAGAGAGCGCGCGCATTGCGCTCTCAGGGGTTCTTGATTGTTTTACTTACTCTCTTCTCATTGGCCGGCCCTCCTTTTGACACGGTAAGAGACGGTAATGAGGAAGTAACGAACGCAAGGAAAATATCAACAAACACTTCGGGCTCACAGGTGATCTTGGTGTATTGTATTTCTTGAAGGCTTTTGGCACAACATTGGATTTAATTGCAGCTTCTTTACTTCCGGCGCAGCAAATCCTCCCAGCCAATTGCACAGCAAGTATACTTAGCACGCATGGTAAAGCTTGTCGTTGATGCTCGTCTCCAGAAATTTTATTCAGAGCGTCGCATCATTTTCATAGCGGGTTTTTTCCACCAGCCCTTATGTCATGCAAGAAAACATTTTGAAAAAGCATGGCACACCTGAACCACCATCCTGGAGATACCACATCCACTCATGGCACCACTACACGGTCAAATCGATCAAAACGCATGGAATTTGAACAAGGCGAAATTATTAATTGCACAGGCAGTTATAAGCCGATAAACATTCATGAGACCTTGCAATGTTGTAGATCGAAGTTCTCAGAACTTACCAGCCTTTGGACAGCTTCTAACATAAGAATTGATATCGCTTCAAAATACGCTCAACTCATGCCTAGAAAAGCTATATATTTGTAATGTTTGAAGTGAGTTATCTTTGCAATGCTCTGCCTTCTTCAGAAAACATGTTCCACCTGGACTCTGAAACACAAGAGGAACTTCTGAAAACGTTCACTATCAACTTGCATCATACGCCTAGTTCGGAAAGTCGTGTGAATACTTTCAGTACAATGTCTATCCCAGTGAGTTCTCGATATTCAGTACTTTTTAGAGTCTTCATTATCTCAGTCGATGATTGCTGGTTCGCACTCCTCGTCGCTTAAAACTGCTTCTTATTTTATACTTTAATAACAACTGCATTAAAAAGGGAACACCCACTGGAGGCAACTTCATATGAAGACTGCGACATGACACCAGATAGGAAGCATCAAGAGTCATCCAACTAATATTTGTTTTCTATTTCTTTCCTCATTTTTTCCTCATTCTTAGTTTCTCACCCTGCTTCCCTTAGAAAGGCATTCTGGATTCATCGAAAGGCCGGGAAATCTGCGCTGAGCATTTCTATCGTCAGGGCGGTCCTGAAGACGGCCCTCCCGTCCTGAGCTCGAGGATAATCGACACCAGCGGCCATGCTGCAGTTATCCCTTCTGCTCCTCCTTCCTCACCCCCCCCCCCCACCTCGCTCAGCAACGAAAGTTGCAATACACAACTACACAAACGGCATTGAGAACTGACTGCCTCTACAACACGTGAAGCTGAAAATTCAACACGTATTCAAGTGACTATAACTTTCTTCAAAGAGGACGAATTTTCAATCTAGGAGGGGCGTTCTTCAACGAGAGATCTCTAACTGGCACTAAATTTGTGGAAAGTAATAAGGAAATACCGTTTTTGGGTAATTAACGAGGCCTTGTTGAGGCGATGGATTACGACAAGATTGGATTGGGTTCATAGTGGAAGTGGAGATGCTGAATAATGCCCCAGTGGCGAAAAAAGCAAAGAAATCCGTCAAGAACGCGCAAAATGGGACCCCTTCTTTGCCCAGTTGACCTCTGATATGGCCAGACTTCACTTAGATCCTTCTTGATCACGTCTCTCCACCTCTTCTTTGGGGCTCCTCGCGGTCGCTTGCCTTGCACTTCGAAGTCCATCGCTGTTCTTATCGGATGATCCTGTGGCCTCCTTAGCACATGCCCATACCATCGCAGACGCTGTTCCCGTACCTTCAGCTGGACAGGGGCAGTCTGCATGACCGCTCTGACATCGTTTCTAACCCTGTCCAGCCGCGTTTCAGCAGCCGCCCATCTCAGCATCAGAGTGAAGCTGCCTTTCGTGATTCTTGTTCAAGGGAGCACTCACTGCCGTATAGCATCGCAGGCCTCATCACTGAACACCGTCCTTTGAGGTCCTGGAGCACCTTTTGATCTCAGAGGATTCCTGTGGGCTCCTTCCATTTCATCCATGCCGCGTTGATACGTGCCTTTACTACCTGTTCCGCACTGCCATCGGCTGCCAGATCACTCCCAAGGTATCGGAAGTCCTCCACTCTTTCCCAATGGCCGCTCTACGAGTGGCTTGTTCGCCACTTCAAAATGTCAGGAACTTGTTTTCTCCGGACTTCAGTTGAAAGCTCAGCCATTCTGCCAGCCCTGCCTGCCATTCCGTCACCTTGCAACGAAGTTCCTCTCTGCTATCCGCTGTCAGGGCGATGTCGTCAGCGTCTTCAGTGGCCCCTTCTATGAGCCCCTTCACCAGGACATCTAGTGTCAGGAGAGAAGAGGAACGGGCTCAGAGCCTGACCCTTGAGTGCACCCCAACCGTGATGTTTACCTCTTTTGTTAGGCCATGTGGGGTGCGTATGGCTGCCTTGGCCTGCGTCGTGCCGAAAAGAAAGTCACCTGCCCGATCAAAGTATTCGAATAATTCCTACCAGAAAAGTTGGGCCACCAGTTCTACGCCAGTGAAGAGAATTCGTCGCTATCTTCACAGCTTTCTACAAAACAACGCTGAAGATGGGAAATGTCACATTATAGGCCTACTATTCCTACTTAAAGCTGATCAGAGATTATCTAATCGGAATATTGAGTGGAATATTGAGCGCAGAAGAAATACGTTCAGCCTTCATTTAATTGAACAACGTAGTGGATTGGATTGAGTACGTGGCGTATTCTGAGGCAAATTTTGAGGCCATCTTTTTCTGATTGGAATTGGTTCGGCTGCATAAGTGCGGTTATAACAGGTTGGGTGAACATTGTTACTTCTTCGGCATGAAGTCGAATGCATAGCACAAATCTGGGTTGAGAATCACTATTTACTAGTTTGTAAGGTTTTAGCTTCTTTTACGATACTTCCGACGAGTTTTTAGAACGGGGATCTCTTCAAATTTGGAATTTCTACTAAGTCCGAACGAAAGTTTATATGGAAACAACGCGATATTCCGTCTTTTTTCATTAAATTTGAGTCTCGGCCGTCTTTTACGGCAAGCAGTGTACTTCTTAATTCGGAAAGCTGCCTCAGTCTAATTCACACGCACACACCTCTGCAGCGTTTTTTGTTACTCAGTAACTTTTGCAGCTCATGCTCCACTAGGTGTATCGAATTCAGCCAAAGGACATTCGCGAATTGGTTAAATTGAAATTTACCCTTTATTTCGGAAACGAGAAGAGCGTCGAGTGCAGAACACACACCACAAGTGACGACGGCCAAGAAAAAACTGGCTTTTTCCTTGGCCCTCGTTACATGTGGTGTGTGGTCTGACTCGACGTTCTACCCGCTCACCTAAATACAGAGTATTTGCCGTAATATTAGCTTTTTTCTTGGCTGCGTAGAGTACATAGTAGGGGCTCGGACTGCTCAAATCGAGGCCCTCCAAGAGGGGGAGGGGGGGGTCGTAAAATTTTGAAATCGTTTTACCGTGACCGCTCCACCCCGAAGCTGCTAGGAATTTTCTTCGATACTGAAGGATGTTTTCCTAGAGACAATAGCTCTGACTACATATGTGTGAGCATTTCCGATCAGCGTCTCAAATAACTTCGTGGTGATCCACTATTCGTCGAGACCTTCGTTGAGCTCAAACGTGATCTTTCAGTGGGAGGCTCTTCTGATGTCGCCCGTTTAGGAGGCTGTTATTTTTTCAATGAATTGGAGTGCTCTCCTAAATACTCATATATGTAGGTGCATCCAGCAAGTGTAATTATTCCGTTACGTATATGGAGGGTCAACGGCTTTTTTATTGCCTCTCACCCCTCCCACTCCCCTCCCCCCTTCGGAAAGAGATTGTCTAACACTGAGCTTCCATATTTACTTATCGGTAAAAATCGGCTACGAATGTATTATCACCTACTTTTCGCAAGCATCATCCTGTTTGTGCAGTAGTCGGTAATACAAATGTCGGAAAGTCAGAGGTACGGGTTCTACCCCATGCGGCGAAGTACTCTGCCAATAGCACAGCGCTATTTCGAAGCAGCTCCAGATGCGAGAAACTATCACAGCTTTGCAATAACTTTCGCATCTGGAGCTGCTTCGAAATAGTCATTTAGTCAAGTCGGCTCACCCAGATCAAAGTCCCTCTGATTTGCCGTCGCGCGCCTAAACCTAAGCCTAATCCTAAGCATGAACACAAGCCAATTTAGAAGCATAAGCATAAGGTTATGTTAAGCTTCAAGATAGGCCTGAGCACAAGATTTATCTGAGACTGCAATCTTGGTGCAGCTCTGGTGATCTAAGCTCTGGAAGAAATTAATGTCCCCCCCAGGGTCTGTCCTATCGTTGTTACTTTTCGAAAATTTTTTACGACCCCCCTCCCCCAACGTGGATTTGATACGACCCCCTTTTCCCTACCTCCACCATCTCCATCTTCCATCAAAACCCCGCCCACTTTTTCCTCCAAAAATGCCGTCGAGCGGGGGGGGGGTAGTCACTCTGAAACGGTAAATATCTCCGAAAATTTCCTTCTATTTCCACCATTTCAACCCATTTTTACTCCCACTACTTCCTTTTCTAGGGGGGGGTATATACGCCCGCTGAAACGGCAAATTTTTATCCTGCGCGCCCTCCACTCGCCCAGCCTACTACCCACGAAATCTTAGTTTCACCTCAATCCCACACGTGATTTCGAGCGACTAAAGTGGGTACGACCCCCCCCCCCTACAAACTCAACCAGGTACGACCCCCCCGTTGTTACTCGTAACAACGTAGGGTTGACCCTGGTCCCCCCCCCTTCAGAAAGAAGTGTTAAAAATAACTACTCGGTAATGTTGTTCTTGTTCACGTTTTGTGCATTTCCAAGCTGAGCGGGCTGCAGGCTGCGCACAGGAAGTCTTGTCAAAGCAGTGGTTGATTACAAATATTTCTGAAACATGGTTTCCGTTAACTACAGATGAAGTCTCGCATAATGGTGTGCCAGCGGAAAAAGTGCATTCAGTCATTCTGAACCTTTCAAATGAGCTCAACGACGCGACAAGCGATAATGCTCGACACATGCAGCAATCAACCTGTTCCATGACGACTAAGGTAATTTTCGAAAAGCTCTTCAACTCAAAGCAACATGTTACTCTTTCAGGTGATTGATCCCATCTCCATCAAAGATGATCAGTACACGTTTTCTATGGAAAAGGTTTTCACTGATCGTACGGACGACGACTCCCATGCTTTGATTGCCTATCAAACCTCGCGCCCTTATTTTAAGTTCGACAGCCACAAGAGGAGGACTGCTCATGGCGTCGTGTAAGTTGACTCACGAAGTTACTTACATCTTAGCGGGCGCCTTCTGGAGCCTATAATGAATCCAGGTGGCTTGTTCATTAAGAGTGGAAAGGCTTTCACTCATTTAATTCACAGTCATATTCAATGTGTTCTATGCAATGTGGCGTGCTGGTGAGGAGTAGGCAGCCAGGGAGGGTGCCTTCAGCTAAGTGACTAACTTTTTGGTTGTCCAGAAATTAGTGCTGGTTTAGATGTGTCATACTTTATCAGACTTCTTTGGGGAATTTTGTTTCACAAGAATGCTGGGTTGTGAACAAAACTTTCGCCCCAGGCGGGACTAGAACCCGCACCTCTCGCTTTCCGGGCAAGTGCGCTACCAGTTACGCTACCGGGGCACCATTTCATTCCAACTCAGCTTTTCATGGTATACGTACCATAGCTTTCAGCACTCACACGTATAACGTGTTGAGCCGGTTAGCCGATATCGGCAATGACCGCGAGGCTGAAAGCTTTAGCAATGAGTTTTTCTTTCGGTAGTTGTATTGTTGCACATTTTGAGAAGTTATTTCATTCTCTTTCTTACATTGGTGTTGTGGTTTGAAAGAACTCGGGCCTCACTTTTTTCAAAGGTTTGAATCGAAGCGTCAAAGCAGTAGTTTGAGCAAGTTCACTTCTATGAGTTGAAATTTGGAGAGGGTGCTGTGCAGACAGCTCGGAATAGGATTGCTGTGTGGGGCTAAGGATGTATCAAATGCACACTGCATCAGTGGCTACGAAGTTTTCAGTGGAGGGAACTCGAAATTCGAAAAGAGGGGTGTCAATCTCGCGTTAACGGCAATCTTCTGAGAGACGGCAGAAAAAAAATTCCGAATAAGTATACGACGGCTAAGAACTTAACCTATACCAGGCATGGCAGAAATTTCGGAGCGCCTGAAGGTACTTGGGAAGGTAAGAAAGCTGGACAAGTGGGTACCGCATGAACTGACTGAGCAGCAGCAAAGTCACCTTGCAGGGATCTTGGCACAACTAGTTTTACTCAACAAAAATATCCGATTTAAGAACATTTCGTCATCCTTGACGGAAACTGCATTATTTGCAACGGGACGGGAAGCAATTTTTCGAAAATCTAGGCAGCAACGAACATCAAAAACTTTTCCAAAGTAGGAATTCCACAAAGGTGACGACTACGGTGATGGATTCGTGGCCTTCGAAGTGAATGATGCATCACAGCTCTTTGAACCCAGGTGAACTTGACATAGTATCAAGGTCTGTCCATCACACCAACATCATGCACCGGAAACAGCAAGGTCTGTATCCAGGAGAGAGAAAAGAACTGTCCTACATCTGACGTTCATCCACATGTCCTCACAAGAAATGGAGGAATACCTATCCAGCTTTGTTCCACTTAGTGTACTCAATGGACCTCTCTCTCACAACCTCCACTTTTTCAGCTATCCCGACAACTTTTGTGCAGGAAGAGATTAGAGAACCGAGACACGGTGAAAAAGACCAACGACGATTTCCTCGCTTTTGCGGTTTCTAATCTGAGCTCCTTCATCAGCGTGCCTTCTATGAAGAAAGATGCGTTGTTTCCAATACTTTTTCGGATGACTAAAAGTCATGATTCCTAGCTGAGATATATTGCGAAGACGGATGTCACAAACCCGCACAATTTCCGGACAACCATATATGATCTCAGTCACTGGCATTTTTTTGTGGCGGATAGAACTGTTAAGT